TAAAATGCGATTTTGGTCAGGTCAACACGTCGGTTTTCGAATCCCACCTATGTAAACGAAAAATGTGTTTCTTGTTTATTTTATGTATTCTGCTAAAATGCAAACATGTGATAAGATATTTTAATTGATATTATTCGAAGGGGGTGGGATGGTTTGATCAATTATTTTTTAAATGTAAAATGCGATTTTGGTCAGGTCAACACGTCGGTTTTCGAATTGTCTCCCACCTATGTAAACGAAAAATGTGTTTCTTGTTTATCTTGTGTATTTTGCTAAAATGTAAACATGTGATTAGATATTTTAATTGATATTATTCGAAGGGGGTGGGATGGTTTGATCAATTATTTTTTTTAACGTAAAATGCGATTTTGGTCAGGTCAACACGTCGGTTTTCGAATCCCACCTATGTAAACGAAAAATGTGTTTCTTGTTTATTTTATGTATTCTGCTAAAATGTTAACATGTGATAAGATATTTTAATTGATATTATTCGAAGGGGGTGGGATGGTTTGATCAATTATTTTTTAAATGTAAAATGCGATTTTGGTCAGGTCAACGCGTCGTTTTTGAATTGTCTCCCACCTGTGTAAACTAAAAACTAAAAATAATGTATTCCTTTGTTTATTTTGTGTATTTTGCTAAAATGTAAAATGCGATTTTGGCCAGGTCAATGCGTTGATTTTCGAATTGTCTCCCACCTATGTAAATAAAAAAAACCTGTGTTTCTTGTTTATCTTGTGTATTTTGCTAAAATGTAAACATGTGATTAGATATTTTAATTGATATTATTCGAAGGGGGTGGGATGGTTTGATCAATTATTTTTTAAATGTAAAATGCGATTTTGGTCAGGTCAACGCGTCGTTTTGCGAATTGTCTCCCACCTATGTAAACTAAAAATGTGTTTCTTGTTTATTTTGTGTATTTTGCTAAAATGTAAACATGTGATAGGGTATTTTAGTGGATATTATAGAAGCGGGTGGGCTTGTTTGATCATTTATGGTTTAAATGTTAGATGCGATTTTGGTCAGGCTAACGCGTCGTAACTATACACGCGATTTTTTACCATACGTGGATGCTTGCTAATATTTGATTATGATTTTTTTCCCACCTATGTAAACTAAAAACTATAAACTAAAAAAACTGTTGATGTCAACTGTTGATATCTTCCACCTATGTAAACTAACAACATTGTCGTTCTTTCTAACTATACACGCGCGATTTTACCGAATGCGGTGTTTTGCTTAATAAACAAACATTTAAATTATCTTGACCACAGTGTCCTATAATATTTGATATCTATTGTTTAATTGTTGATATTTCACACCTAAATTTTGCGTTTCTTGTTCTTTTGTGTGACTTCTGTTAAAATTATAATATATCGATGTATTTTTAAAATAATAATATACTGTATTGTGTTGTATCAATTTGCAAAATATTTTAATACTCTGGTATTTGGAAGTTGTCAGATTCATCGAATTCATCTTGGCTAATAATCCAGCTGCTGTGTCAGGAAACTCTGCGAATGGTCTAAACAGGTGCCTCTACAAATTGTGATGAGGATCTGGCTGGCAGTGTAAAGTTGATAGTGTTTGTTTTAAAGTGGCATGATCAACAGAGCATTGAGTACAATGTATATTTTGTATATGACATTGTCAGTCTGAGGACAGACTTTAGCATTCAGGTACTTGCTTTCTTTGAATTTTCCAATGATATAAGCAAATGGTATAATTTTAAGTCTTTAATCGATAAGTAATAACATAGTTGATTGGAGTTGTCCAGCTAGCTATCATATGGAAAGCTAGCGGTTGTTCTCGGATACCGGTCCTGGCCTGTAAAAATGCTCTCAGGAGTCTACCTTCATCTACCAGTAAAGCTGGAATGTCGCCATGAGGCTTAAATCACAACAATTTAATAGAAATATGTTGCCAAGAAAAAAAGTTTATTATGATGAAGTAAATTCTAATAAATGTATAATATATTTTGAGGTTTTGTCACCCGCCCTTACCTGAAAGATTGCACTAAAAGAACACGTCTACCAATACAGATGGAGGGTCGCCATATGACTAAACGAATTACTTGACAGACACTGTGAAAGTTGATCAAGACTGGTATCGATTCTTCGAGAGTCCCGGTGCTGATATACTCGCAAGAAGCAGTCGTGTTTGGGGCAGCTTTCTACACCTCTGTGCCGGCAGATTTGTAAGATTGGAAGTTGTTTCAGTGTGGAGAGATTTGGACACGGTGTATTGTTAGGTAAAACTTGCCCTTTGATGTCATGGGTAGTTCTCATTAGAGGTAATGAGTCATGTTTTTTTTATAATAAAAGAGGGTTGGAAATCCCTGTTAAATCAAATAAATATGTCGTTATAATTAGTGCTATTTCCATTGTGTTTAATGGGCTAGACTTTTGATTGGACGAGGAAACTTCCCATAGCTTTGTTAATTGTAGTTTGACTTGCAAGCTAATTTAAGACAGTTCCGATGGTTTTACATAAATAGAAACAATGCATATAACGGCAATATTTCATTTACCAATTTAGCTTGAATGTCGCCATATGACTTTAAAAAGAAATAAAGATAATTTGTAACTAGTCAAATCTTAAACAGATTTGTTTTTAGTAAATATTGACATATTGTGATTGAATGTAATTCTGTAAACCGTAGTGACCTTTCAGTAAACCCTTGAACAATGAATGCTAGATTGGTGCCCAACGTTGTGATGACGGATGATGTCGGAATGCGGATGGTTGTGTAACATTTGTGAAAAGTTTGTGTTGGGAAAGTGCATGATGGAGCATTGGTCAATTGTGTAAGATGTAAATGGCATTGTTATTCTGGAGGCAGGCCAGCATCAAGGAAAAAATAAAGTATTTCTTTTATTGAATATTTCAATAAGTATGAATATATTGGAAAGGTTTATTCAATTAATAAATAATAATTTCAATAAGGCATATTTTATAGATGATAGGAATTGTCAAATATAGGTTGTCTAGTTAGCTAGCAGATGGAAGTTTAATGGTTCTACTACGGTACAACCCCTTGTCTGAAACATTGCACTTAGCCTCACATCTTCATGTACCAAAAGGGCTGGAGTGTCGCCATATGACTTAAAAACAGACAAATTTTTACATGTTGAGTTTAAACAGTTTAAGATAAAATAAATATTTACATTTTGAGATAATTGTCCCCGGCCCTTGTCTTTAACATACATTGTACTTAGGGACACATCTGCAAATAAAGCTGGAGAGTTGTCATGTGGCATAAGAGCTGTGATTACTGGAGCAATGAAGGACTTGGCAGACACTGTGAAAGTTCATCAAGACTGGTATCGATTCTTCGAGAGTCCCGGTGCTGATATACTCGCAAGAAGCAGTCGTGTTTGGGGCAGCTTTCTACACCTCTGTGCCGGCAGATTTGTAAGATTGGAAGTTGTTTCTGTGTTGAGAGAGATGGACACGGTGTATTGTTAGGTAAAACTTGCCCTTTGATGTCACGGGTAGTTCTCATTAAAGGTAATGAGTCATGGTTATGTCCATAAAGAGGGTTGGAAATCCCTGTTAAATCAAATAAATATGTCGTTATAATTACTGCTATTTCCATTGTGTTTAATGAGCTAGACTTTTGATTAGACAAGGAAAATTCCCATAGCTTTGTTAATTGTAGTTTGACTTGCAATCTATTTTAAGACAGTTCCGGTGGTTTTACGTTAATAGAAAAAATGCATATAACGGCAATAGTTCATTCACCAATTTAGATTGAATGTCGCCATATGACTTTAAAAAGAAATAAAGATAATTTGTAACTAGTCAAATTTTAAACAGATTTGTTTAAAGTAAATATTGACATTTTGCGATTGAATGTTGTTCTGTTAACCCTAGTGACCTTTCAGTAAAGCCTTGAACAATGAATGCTAGATTTGTGCCCAACGTTGTGATGGTGGATGATGTGGGAATGTGGATGGTTGTGTAACATTGGTGAAAAGTTTGTATTTAGAAGTTGCATGATGGAGCATTGGTCAATTGTGTAATATGTAAATGGCATTGTTATTCTGGAGACAGGCCAGCATCGAGGGAGAAAGAATGTATTTCTTTAAATGAATATTTCAATAATTAAGAATATATTTGAAAGGTTTATTCAATAAATAAGTAATAAGTTCAATGAGGCATATTCTATAGATGATAGAAATTGTCAAATATAAGTTGTCTACTTAGCTAGATGGAAGTTTAATGGTTCTACTACGGTACAACCCCTTGTCTGAAACATTGCACTTAGACTCACATTTTCATGTACCAAAAGAGCTAGATTTTCGCCATATGACTTAAAAACAAACAAAGTGTTAAATGTGAAGTTAAAACAGTTTAAGATAAAGTAAATATTTACATTTTGAGATATTTGTCCCCGGCCCTTGTCTTTAACATACATTGTACTAAGGGACACATCTGCAAATAAACCTGGAGAGTTGGCATGTGGCATAAGAGCTGTGATTACTGGAGCAATGAAGGACTTGGCAGACACTGTGAAAGTTGATCAAGACTGGTATCGATTCTTCGAGAGTCCCGGTGCTGATATACTCGCAAGAAGCAGTCGTGTTTGGGGCAGCTTTCTACACCTCTGTGCCGGCAGATTTGTAAGATTGGAAGTTGTTTCAGTGTGGAGAGAGATGGACACGGTGTATTGTTAGGTAAAACTTGCCGTTTGATGTCACGGGTAGTTCTCATTAAAGGTAATGAGTCATGGTTATGTCCATAAAGAGGGTTGGAAATCCCTGTTAAATCAAAAAATATGTCGTCATAATTACTGCTATTTCCATTGTGTTAAATGAGCTAGACTTTTGTTAGACAAGGAAAATTCCCATAGCTTTGTTAATTGTAGTTTGACTTGCAATTTATTTTACGATAGTTCCGGTGGTTTTACGTTAATAAAAAAAACAGATTTGTTTTAAGTAAATATTGACATTTTGCGATTGAATGTTGTTCTGTTAACCCTAGTGACCTTTCAGTAAACCCTTGAACAATGAATGCTAGATTTGTGCCCAACGTTGTGATGGTGGATGATGTGGGAATGTGGATGGTTGTGTAACATTGGTGAAAAGTTTGTATTTGGAAGTTGCATGATGGAGCATTGATCAATTTGTAATATGTAAATGGCATTGTTATTCTTGAGACAGGCCAGCATCGAGGGAGAAGTAAAGTTTTTTTTTCATATGTCAATAATTAAGAATATATTTGAAAGGTTTATTCAATAAATAATTAATAATTTCAATAAGGCATATTTTATAGATGATAGAAATTGTCAAATATAGGTTGTCTAGTTAGCTAGCAGATGGAAGTTTAATGGTTCTACTACGGTACAACCCCTTGTCTGAAACATTGCACTTAGACTCACATCTTCATGTACCAAAAGAGCTGGAATGTCGCCATATGACTTAAAAACAAACCAATTGTTATATGTTGAGTTTAAACAGTTTAAGATAAAATAAATATTTACATTTTGAGATAATTGTCCCCGGCCCTTGTCTTTAACATACATTGTACTTAGGGACACATCTGCAAATAAAGCTGGAGAGTTGTCATGTGGCATAAGAGCTGTGATTACTGGAGCAATGAAGGACTTGGCAGACACTGTGAAAGTTGATCAAGACTGGTATCGATTCTTCGAGAGTCCCGGTGCTGATATACTCGCAAGAAGCAGTCGTGTTTGGGGCAGCTTTCTACACCTCTGTGCCGGCAGATTTGTAAGATTGGAAGTTGTTTCAGTGTGGAGAGAGATGGACACGGTGTATTGTTAGGTAAAACTTGCCCTTTGATGTCACGGGTAGTTCTCATTAAAGGTAATGAGTCATGGTTATGTTCATAAAAGAGGGTTGGAAATCCCTGTTAAATCAAATAAATATGTCGTTATAATTACTGCTATTTCCATTGTGTTTAATGGGCTAGACTTTTGATTGGACAAGGAAAATTCCCATAGCTTTGTTAATTGTAGTTTGACTTGCAAGCTATTTTAAGACAGTTCCGGTGGTTTTACGTAAATAGAAACAATGCATATAACGGCAATATTTCATTTACCAATTAAGCTTGAATGTCGCCATATGACTTTAAAAAGAAATAAAGATAATTTGTAACTAGTCAAATTTTAAACAGATTTATTTAAAGTAAATATTGACATTTTGCGATTGGAATGTTGTTCTGTTAACCCTAGTGACCTTTCAGTAAACCCTTGAACAATGAATGCTAGATTGGTGTCCAACGTTGTGATGGTGGATGATGTCGGAATGTGGATGGTTGTGTAACATTGGTGAAAAGTTTGTGTTGGGAAGTTGCATGATGGAGCATTGGTCAATTGTGTAATATGTAAATGGCATTGTTATTCTGGAGACAGGCCAGCATCGAGGGAGAAATAAAGTATTTCTTTTATTGAATATTTCAATAAGTAAGAATATATTTGAAAGGTTTATTCAATAAATAAGTAATAATTTCAATGAGGCATATTTTATAGATAATAGGAATTGTGAAATATAGGTTGTCTAGTTAGCTAGCAGATGGAAGTGTAATGGTTCTACTACGGTACAACCCCTTGCCTGAAACATTGCACTTAGACTCACATCTTCATGTACCAAAAGAGCTGGAATGTCGCCATATGACTTAAAAACAAACCAATTGTTATATGTTGAGTTTAAACAGTTTGGGATAAAATAAATATTTACATATTGAGATAATAGTCCCCGGCCCTGGTCTTTAACATACATTGTACTTAGGGACACATCTGCAAATAAAGCTGGAGAGTTGCCATGTGGCATAAGAGCTGTGATTACTGGAGCAATGAAGGACTTGGCAGACACTGTGAAAGTTGATCAAGACTGGTATCGATTCTTCGAGAGTCCCGGTGCTGATATACTCGCAAGAAGCAGTCATGTTTGGGGCAGCTTTCTACACCTCTGTGCCGGCAGATTTGTAAGATTGGAAGATTGCAAGCGGTGCTTGTTGGTAAAGTACTTTATTCTTGTGCTGATATTTCGAACCGTGCTATTTTAATTCCTATTTTTGTCTGACGTCTGAAAATCAGTGTACGCATGTGAGTTCTGTTTGAATTTAGCCTTCAAGTGATAGGCATTCAGGGTGATATTTGAATGCTTGTTGACGTTACGTTCGATTTTTATTTCATCTCGCGACGCTCCCGCGGATTTTGTGCCACACACTGCACTTTTATAATGTATATTAAAATCCTATTACATCTCCAACCTACTACTTCTGCCAATATGCATACTTTGAACTTGTTGTTTATTTTGTGTGAATTCCCCTACAATGTAAACATGTGATGAGACATTTTAGCTGTTTAGTTGTTATTATTAGAAGGGGGTGGGTAAATCTTGGTAAATCATTGATTGTTTAAATGTAAAATGCGATTTTGGTCAGGTCAACGCGTTGATTTTCGAATTGTCTCCCACCTATGTAAATAAAAACCTGGGTTTCTTGTTTACTTGTGTATTTTGCTAAAATGTAAACATGTGATAGGGTATTTTAGTTGATATTACAGAAGCGGGGGTGGGCTTGTTTGATCATTTATGGTTTAAATGTTAAATGCGATTTTGGTCAGGTCAATGCGTTGTTTTGCGAATTATCTCCTACCAATGTGAACTAAAAATGTGTTTCTTGTTTATTTTATGTATTCTGCTAAAATGTAAACATGTGATTAGATATTTTAATTGATATTATTCTGATATTATTCGAAGGGGGTGGGATGGTTTGATCAATCATTGTTTAAATATAAAATACGATTTAGGTCAGGTCAACGCGTCGTTTTGCGAATTATCTCCTACCAATGTAAACTAAAAATGTGTTTCTTGTTTATTTTGTGAATTTTGCTAAAATGTAAACATGTGATAGGGTATTTTAGTTGATATTACAGAATCGGGGGTGGGCTTGTTTGATCATTTATGGTTTAAATGTTAAATGCGATTTTGGTCAGGCTAACGCGTCGTAACTATACACGCGATTTTTTACCATACGTGGATGCTTGCTAATATTTGATTATGATTTTTTTCCCACCTATGTAAACTAAAAACTATAAACTAAAACAAACGTGTTTCTTGTTTATTTTGTGTATTCTGCTAAAATGTAAACATGTGATTAGGTATTTTAGTTGATATTATAGAAGAGGTTGGGGTGGTTTGATCATTTATGGTTTAAAGTAAAATGTATTTCTTGTTTATTTTTAGTCATTCTTCTTTATTTTAAATGTTAAATGCAATTTTGGTCAGGTCAACGCGTCGTCTTTACAATTGTGGTTTAAATGTCGTCTTTACACGCGCGATTTTACCTAACACGGTCTTTTTGCTTAACTTTTACTACATGTTTTATATAAAAATAGCATCAACCACACTGCCTTATAATACCTGATATGTTTTGTTTAACTGTTGATGCCAACTGTTGATATCTTCCACCTATGTAAACTAACAACATTGTCGTTCTTTCTAACTATACACGCGCGATTGTACCGAATACGATGTTTTGCTTAATAAACAAACATTTAAATTATCTTGGCCACAGTGTCCTATAATATTTGATATCTATTGATTAATTGTTGATATTTCACATATAAATTTTGCTTTGCGTTTCTTGCTCTTTTGTATGACTTCTGTTAAAATTTTAATATATCGATGTATTTTAGAAGTAATATAATTATTATACTGTTTTGTGTTGTATCAATTTGCAAAATATTTTAATACTCTGGTATTTGGAAGTTGTCAGATTCACCGAATTCATCTTGGCATATAATCCACCTATGTGTCAGGAAACTCTGCGAATGGTCTAAACAGGTGCACCTGCAAATTTGTGATGAGGATATGGCTGGCAGTGTTACATTGATAGTGTTCGTTTTCGATTGGCATGATCAACGGAGTATTGAGTACAATGTATATTTTGTATGTGACATTGTCAGTCTGAGGACAGGCTTCAGCATTCAGGTACTTGCTTTCGTTGAATTTTCCAATGATATAAGCAAATTGTATAATTTTAAGTCTTTTAATCGATAAGTAATAACAAAGTTAATAGGAGTTGTCCAGCTAGCTATCATATGGAAAGCTAGTGGTTGTTCTCGGAAACCGGTCCTTGCCTGTAAAAATGCTCTCAGGAGTCTACCTTCATCTACTAGTAAAGCTGGAATGTCGCCATGTGGCTTAAAACACAACAATTTAATAGTAATATGTTGACAAGAAAAATAGTTTATTATGATGAAGTAAATTTTAATAAATGTATAATATTCTTTGAGGTTTTGTCATCCGCCCTTACCTGAAAGATTGCACTAAAAGAACACGTCTACCAATACAGATGGAGGGTCGCCATTTGACTAAACGAATTACTTGACAGACACTGTGAAAGTTGATCAAGACTGGTATCGATTCTTCGAGAGTCCCGGTGCTGATATACTCGCAAGAAGCAGTCGTGTTTGGGGCAGCTTTCTACACCTCTGTGCCGGCAGATTTGTAAGATTGGAAGTTGTTTCAGTGTGGAGAGAGATGGACACGGTGTATTGTTAGGTAAAACTTGCCCTTTGATGTCACGGGTAGTTCTCATTAAAGGTAATAAGTCATGGTTATGTCCATAAAGAGGGTTGGAAATCCCTGTGAAAACAAACAAATATGTCGTTATAATTACTGCTATTTCCATTGTGTTTAATGAGCTAGACTTTTGATTGGACAAGGAAAATTCCCAAAGCTTTGTTAATTGTAGTTTGACTTGCAATCTATTTTAAGTCAGTTCCGGTAGTTTTACGTACATAGAAACAATGCATATAACGGCAATACTTCATTTACCAATAATGCTTGAATGTCGCCATATGACTTTAAAAAGAAATAAAGATAATTTGTGACTAGTTAAATTTTAAACAGATATATTTAAAGTAAATATTGACATTTTGCGATTTGAATGTTGTTCTGTTAACCCTAGTGACTTTTCAGTAAACCCTTGAACAATGAATGCTAGATTGGTGTCCAACGTTGTGATGGTGGATGATGTCGAAATGTGGATGGTTGTGTAACATTGGTGAAAATTTTGTGTTGGAAAGTTGCATGATGGAGCATTGGTCAATTGTGTAATATGTAAATGGCATTGTTATTCTGGAGACAGGCCAGCATCGAGGGAGAAATAAAATATTTCTTTTATTGAATATTTTAATAAGTAATAATATATTTGAAACGTTTATTCAATAGATAAGTAATAATTTCAATGAGGCATATTTTATAGATAATAGGAATTGTGAAATATAGGTTGTCTAGTTAGCTAGCAGATGGAAGTTTAATGGTTCTACTACGGAACAACCCTTTGTCTGAAACATTGCACTTAGACTCACATCTTCATGTACCAAAAGAGCTGGAAAGTCGCCATATGACTTAAAAACAAACAAATTGTTATATGTTGAGTTTAAACAGTTTAAGATAAAATAAATATTTACATTTTGAGATAATTGTCCCCGGCTCTTGTCTTTAACATACATTGTTCTTAGGGACACATCTGCAAATAAAGCTGGAGAGTTGTCATGTGGCATAAGAGCTGTGATCACTGGAGCAATGAAGGACTTGGCAGACACTGTGAAAGTTGATCAAGACTGTTTTCGATTCTTCGAGAGTCCCGGTGCTGATATACTCGCAAGAAGCAGTCGTGTTTGGGGCAGCTTTCTACACATCTGTGCCGGCAGATTTGAAAGATTGAAAGTTGTTTCAGTGTGGAGAGAGATGGACACGGTGTATTGTTAGGTAAAACTTGCCCTTTGATGTCACGGGTAGTTCTCATTAAAGGTAATGAGTCATGGTTATGTCCATAAAGTGGGTTGGAAATCCCTGTTAAATCAAATAAATATGTCGTTACAATTACTGCTATTTCCATTGTGTTTAATGAGCTAGACTTTTGATTAGACAAGGAAAATTTCCATAGCTTTGTTAATTGTAGTTTGACTTGCAAGCATTTTTAAGACAGTTCCGGTGGTTTTACGTAAATAGAAAAAATGCATATAACAGCATATTTCATATACCAATTAAGCTTGAATGTCGCCATATGACTTTAAAAAGAAATAAAGATAGTTTGTGACTAGTTAAATTTTAAACAGATTTATTTAAAGTAAATATTCACATTTTGCGATTAGAATGTTGTTCTGTTAACCCAAGTGACCTTTCAGTAAACCCTTGAACAATGAATGCTAGATTGGTGTCCAACGTTGTGATGGTGGATGATGTGGGAATATGGATGGTTGTGTAACATTGGTGAAAAGTTTGTGTTGGAAAGTTGCATGATGGAGCATTGGTCAACTGTGTAATATGTAAATGGCAATGTTATTCTGGAGACAGAACAGCATCGAGGGAGAAATAAAGTATTTCTTTTATTGAATATTTCAATAAGTAAGAATATATTTGAAACGTTTATTCAATAAATAAGTAATAATTTCAATGATGCATATTTTATAGATAATAGGAATTGTGAAATATAGGTTATATAGTTAGCTAGCAGATGGAAGTGTAATGGTTCTACTACGGTACAACCCCTTGCCTGAAACATTGCACTTAGAATCACATCTTCATGTACTAAAAGAGCTGGAAAGTCGCCATATGACTTAAAAACAAACCAATTATTATATGTTGAGTTTAAACAGTTTAAGATAAAATAAATATATTTACATTTTGGGATAATTGTCCCCGGCCCTTGTCTTTAACATACATTGTACTTAGGGACACATCTGCAAATAAAGCTGGAGAGTTGCCATGTGGCATAAGAGCTGTGATTACTGGAGCAATGAAGGACTTGGCAGACACTGTGAAAGTTGATCAAGACTGGTATCGATTCTTCGAGAGTCCCGGTGCTGATATACTCGCAAGAAGTAGTCGTGTTTGGGGCAGCTTTCTACACCTCTGTGCCGGCAGATTTGAAAGATTGGAAGTTGTTTCAGTGTGTAGAGAGATGGACACGGT